AAAAAAGGGGAGCAGTTTAATACGTTTGTCCTGTGCGTCGTTACAGCCGACGGCCAAAACGACATATCACGCGAGGAGAACAACGACGAAGTCTCCTCGACGTCCTCCGAGAAATACGAACGCGACGTGACCATCCTGAACCATTGTTTCGACGACATCGAGAAATTTATCGCGCGTCTGCAACACGCGGCGGCCGCCTCGAAAGAGCTGGAACGCCGGCGGCGCAATCGGAAGTCGAAGAAGAGGAATCTGGGTGACGGGATGCTGACAATGAGGGCGAAACCACCTCCGGAGATGGAGTTCATCGACATATTCCAAAAGTTCAAACTGTCGTTCAACTTGCTGGCTAAGCTGAAGGCTCACATTCACGACCCTAACGCCCCCGAATTGGTACACTTTCTGTTCACGCCGTTGGCTTTGATCGTGGACGCGTCCCACGACACTAATTACGATCCAAACTTGCCGAGCAAAGTGGTGTCGCCGTTGTTGACCAGAGAAGCGGTGAACTTGTTAATCAATTGCGTCACCAGTAAAGAGACAGAGCTTTGGCATTCACTGGGCGACACGTGGCTGATACCGCGCGACCAATGGAAGGGCCACGTCCCTCCGTACCATCCTATCTTCATGGACGGTTGGTCTCCGGAGTACCCGATACCGGAGGACAGGGACCACGATCATTTGGCCTCCTTGTTGAACGCTGACAAACAAAAAAGGGACGAACTGCCCGAACAACAAAACGATCCGTACTACAATCATCGAGAGGTGGACGAGTCCCATTACAGCAGCGATTATTTGGAGTACGAGAGCAGAGAGGAGCGTGCCGGTAACGAGTACTTTGATAGAAATTACGGTACCGGCTCGGAGTTGTACGGCAGGGAAGAAAGAGTGGTCGATCAGACGAGAGCGCACAGCGATATATCGGTGGACTCGATCGAAAGAACACCGAGGACCGCCGGCATGGAAAGGGCACAGGAAGCTTGGCTGGACGATCTAGTAGCTAGACACGCCAAGATCGTGCAAGTCACTTACCCGAGGACGGCGAACAACGACAAGGAGCTGACAGTCGTCAGAGGCGAATACCTAGAGATTCTCGACGATAGCAGGAAATGGTGGAAGGCGAGGAATTCCAGAGGGCAGGTCGCGCACGTGCCGCACACCATCGTCACGGCCCACAACCCATCCCATTCCAACGACAACGACGTCTTCAACAATCCTCTCTACACGAGCCGATACCCGCGACAGGGGCACGGCTATAATTACGAGGTGAGAGACTTTTTCTCTCTCGTGGCCTCTGCGCTCTTAAAGAAAAGCAATCACCGTTACAAAACGGTGGCGTGTTGTTGCTATCGTTAACTATATTGTAATTATCGTAGACGTGCTTTCTGATTTCATTGTTTAATACGTATAAACTGAAACTAAATTTACATCAGGTGATTATATATACCTTCGTCAGTAAAATTCTTTAATTTTAGGATTCTGAAATAGAGAGGACCAACACTAGTCCAGGACCTGAAGCCACTCATCGAACGCACGCTATTCCACCGCCTGCGCCCGCCGATTGGGTGAGAAAAGAGAGACTCGGGAAGAAAGGTGAATTCCGGTATTTTTAAGCTGTCTAGTGACTCAGAGTCGTGTAGTTTTGTCCTTTGCTTGAGGGATCGGAGAGGAATCGAGTCTTAAGTAGGATAACTTAAGTTGTGGTTGTCTGATATCAGAAGACTTAACGCGCTGGCTGGCCACCCAAGCAGAATGCAACTAAAGTTGCTTGGGATTTTCACGGTTTCTTGGGTTCTTGCGGTTGAAATTAAAATCGGAGGCTGACTTCTCCTCGACAATCTCAGCTGCAAGACAAAGCATGCTATATTGGAAATGATCAATAACTCAACGCCAATATATTAGCGCCCCAGCGCTTATGTCGCGTCTCAAATTGCTACGTACAAGTACGTTTTGTAAGCGTTCTATGGTTTTTTTTGTTGTTGTCAATACCGTGTTCCTTTTACTTGTATATATTATATAAATATATAAAAAAGGTACATGTCAGCAGAGGTATATCTAAATCGCGAATCAGTAACAATCGCAACAGGGACGAGATTACCAGAGGAATTATATACATTTGTTGTTGTCGTCTTCCAAGTTCTTCGATCTCTTATCCAAAGTTCTATTCTAGAATATCCTTTGTAATTTATAACAGTGACTCTGACTTGAGAATATGTACCAGGAAGAACTTAGTCGCGGTGCATCAGATATTAATTCATTCTCTCTCCCCCCCCCCTCCCCTCCCGCCCCCTCGAGGCCTTTGAACAACCAACGATAAGAACGATGATTTTATCAGATACAAGTTTGCAATGGAAAGTAGAATTGCAGTCAAGACGGAAACACGTTTTGTCAAAGATAGATCGAACGAACAAAGTTACTTTACGGACAAATTACAAGTGACTCGCATTTCTCTTCGCATGTTCGTTTAAACCGTACTAGTAATAATGTTATGTAACAAAATCTGAAGATCAACTGATATTCCGTAACAGTTTATCAAAAGTGTTTAGAAGTTTATCTTAACACCGTACCTTTCTCTTTGTAGTTATCGTAGGAACGATACCACATTCTTTTTTTTTTTTTTTTTATATTTATCGACTAACCAAATCTTAGTATATAATGTTATATACATACTTAACAGAACAAAGGATAATATGTATAGTTTTATATTAAAAAAAAAAAAAAAAAGGGGGAAAAAGAAAGACGTAACGTAATAAACGCGTTGAGTCAAGTGGACTGGTTAAGTTTTCTAAATGTCTATTCGCGTGTAAAATTTTTAATGATGATTATTCGCGCGTTTCCACCGACGAGAGATCGTGGTGAAGTCATTGTGTCCGTCCATTACTATCAAATGTTCGGCTTCACTACGAGAAAGAACTTGGTCGTTCAATCACGAATTGAAGCTGTTGATAAAAAAAAAAAAAAAAAAAAAA